TTAAAGTAATATCGTGTAGTTGGTCAGGTTGGTATGGAGCACGAGAAATATGTCGAACCATCATAAATTGTCGCATTACATGGTCAGGTTGGTGCCACTCACAAATTTGAAAACATATAAGTGGCACAACTGACCTCCAAATATTCGCTCATTTAATGCATATGGCAGACAAAGAATTCATCAACTCCATACTATACGGTTGCTATACAATTTGCATGTTCAAATTCGTGCAAAATAGTAAATTTGTTGTGAATATTAATTAACCAATCGTGAAAATGTTCTATCAATGTATATTAACAAAATACCTCATCACGTTTCAGATGATCAAACTTACATATGTAGTAAGCGAGATCTCTCTTTCGTCTCACACAACTTTGACTCACTAACCACATGCAAGACATACATATAAATCAAAATCAGGGTGACACGAGTTTGAAAAGTCATTCATAAATTATAAATGCAATCATTCAGAACATACCGTGCACCATAAGGAAGATCTAGTTGTGTGTGGACAAAATTATTAGACTGTAAAAATGAAAACCTATCTCATACCCACATCATAAATAATGGAGTTAATCCTTTAATACCAGAACGCTCAACATTGGTCGACATGCATAACTCTCAGTATAGGAATGTCAATGTTGCAGCTCCCCAACTATACTCTCTTGTGATAGTAAAATCCTCTAACAATGGAAGGTACTTAACTGGGACCCTGCTAGAGGAATGATCAGCCAATATGAACCCACCTATCAATCTCAGAATATAAGCTCTAGCAAAGTGAGTAAGCTGAAGTTCATTATGATTATGCATTGCAACATGTGTAAAGTGTTAGCCAACCAACTCAACTTCAAATTACTCCCCATAAATGCATCGGCAAGTGGTCTAATACCAAGCAAGTCCTCCACAATTTGTGCCCTATTACCTCTTATAGTTGCAATCACTTCCTTTCCATATATACGAAGCCTTATCTGAATAGCAATGTCCTGAAGAGTTATAGTACACTCTCCAGGAGGCATGTGAAAGGTATGAGTTTTTGGCCTCCATCTTTCCACCAAGGCTGTAATAAGATGTCGGTCAATAGTAGCATGCCAACTGAGCTACTCCAACAAATCCAGCTACGGTAAGATGAGGAAGTATCTCCACTGGAACCCCTTCCATGTCAGCTGTAATGAAGTGACTCATTCTCACCTTCAAAATTGGGTGCTCACGTCCATCCCAAATATGCTTCGATACGTGAATAGACTGATACCTCAATAATGAATCATCCTCCGGGTCAGGATTTAAAACTTTACTTCGCGATGAAGATGATGTCATCTAAAATGAAATTTGTCAATTTAAACTGAAATTATGTACATTAAAATTAATAGATTACAAATTCTATTAAGTTTATCATTTTCTTTTTCATTATTACCTAATTTTTATTACAATTATTTAACTATAACAATTTCAAATTTTCAAATTAACTTAAAAAATGATTTCATTTACTTATTATATTAAATATTTTTTAACAATTTAATAATTTTTAAATATTATTTTACAATTAGAATAAATAGCAAGAAATGTAATTACGTGCACTTAATTAACTACTATATATAATTTTTTATTTACTCTAAATTTAAAACAAAGCATACTTTCATGCACTAAATTCCGTATTGTATATCAAATTTTACACTTACAAATAATTAACAAATACATAATTTTATCGCACCTAATTTAATTTTGTAATTCTTTATATTAAATCATAAATTTATTATTTTCTTAATTTTATTATTCTTATTCAATAATAATTTTGTTTCTTAAATTATAATTTTTTTATAAATATGTAATATTTTAAATAAATTTGTTGACATCATTATTATATTTTATTGTTAATTTTTTTATGAATATGATATTTTACATATATTTATAATTATTTTCTTTTCATAATATAATTGTATATGTTCTTTTTCTTAATAAATTTAATAAAAATATTCTATTTAGTTTTTTTCAAAAACTAATTATTATTTTTACTACATTTAATTTTTTTTTTGTCACAAATTCTTTATTATATCTTAATCTACTATCAAAATATAAAAAAATTATTATTTTTCGAGAGCAATTATTTTGACCATTCTATTGCATTCGATATGCTTTTTTTTTTTCATTACTATGGTTTTTATTTCTTTTTTCTGAACCGTATATCTTAAATGTCAAATTTTCTTTCCTTTTAATTTAACAATTAATTACTATAACAATTTATCTTAATATTTAGTAATTAAAATATATTATTTACTTACTAAAATTTAAATTGAATACATTCTTTAACTAACAAATTATAAATATTTAATATTATATTATATAATTTATAATACAATTTATCTAAAATTTTAAATCATAAACTTTGAAGCAAATATGTAATGTTTTAAATAAATTTGATGACATACTTATTATATTTTATTGTTAATTTTTAATGAATTTATTTTTTAAAATATAACTGTATATATTATTTTTATCAATAATTTTAATAAAAATATTGTATTTAGTCTTTTTCAAAAACTAAATATTATTTTTATTACTAATAATATTTTTATTTTACAATTTTTTTATATATCAATCTACTATCAAAATGTCAAAATTTATTATTTCTCTTACATTTATTATTTAATATTTTCATTGCATTTCACATATATTTTTTCATTATCATGTTTTTTATTTTTTTCTTAACTATGTATATTTATATATATTTTTATTTCCTTTTAATTTATCAATTTATTACAATCAAAATTTTTCTTATTATTTAATAATTAATTCATATTATGGATTATTATAAATTTTATTTAATACATTTTTAAACAACCAATTATAAAAAATAATAATTATATTATATAATTTCTAATACAATTTATCTAAAATTTTATTTGTTACATAATACATAAATTAATTTTTAAAATATTTAAAAACAAAAAATAAATTGTGCACCTTCAACGCTTCTTATATGAATTTCAATCCTCTTCTTCACGAGCTCCACCCAGTCACCCAGAAAGTCTTCACTTGCACCACAATCTCATGTTATATGCATACAATTTCATATTTAAAAACTAAAATATATTCGATCTATTATTTCTTTTACCTTATAATAATTTTTTTCTCAAGAATCTGAATACCAGAAGCCAACAAATGTGCCTAATAATGCTCTGTTATTTTTTTTTTTGGCAATCTAAAACTTTTGTAATATGAGACGGTAACAGAGAAGAAAAAAGGAGGGGAGAAAGGAAGACGAAGCCACACCTTAAACAGTCAAATTCCTATGCCAGGTGGACCAATAATATTGTGTCGTCCCTAACTCACACGACACTGAAGGTGACTCTGCACCAACCGGTATTGAAGGTGCCTCTGAACTAGCCGACACTCTAGGATTTGTACACATATCTTCTTTCATTCCTACCCGTTGATTCGTTCTAAATTATTTTAATTTTTTTTTGTTTAATTGGTATCGTCTAGCATCTGGACAACTCTTTTGCCATGTGGCTTCTCCACCTCAAACCGAAAATTTGTTTCCATGCAGTCCTAATTTGGTAATTTTTTTTTAAATAACTCCAAAAGGGCAAAAAATCTGATTCTTGGAGGAATTGAATGTTGTTTGGAGTATATGACTCAAATACATGAAGTTGCAGTTATAGTTTTTGGTGATAACTAAAGTCATTATAAGCAACAAAGAATAAAGCTATTAGGAATATAGTTTAATGAAAAGAATAAGAAATTTTTGAGTTAACTCAGTGTATTGAAGTTAAACATATTTAAAGTGAGACTAACTTTTGTGTTGATGTGGATTTAAATAAGGCTTACTATCGTTACTTATCACTGTTAGTTTATTCTTGATCTTCATTGGAACTAGAGCAATTATTGTTCCATAACGTAATTAATATTTCTATATCCTATAGTATTTATTTGTAATATTTTTATTTTTGGATTTAATCCCTTTTGTTAAAAAAAAAAGAGAATCAAAATTACACATATATTAAAAATATAGGGATAAAAAAAAAGCAATCAAGCCTATTTTAAAGAGCATTTTTGAGAGTTAGTTCACTTTCTTAAGATACTGTGTCGCTATCCTTTATAAAGCATTTATTTATTCTCAAATCTATTTTTTTTAATTCAGTCTAATTTAATATAGTAAAATATTATTGATAATGATTTAAACATGTTATATTTTTAAATTTACAAATTTAATTAATTTAACTAATCATACAATGCATTTTTTTCATTTAAAAATTATTTTAATTTAATAATAATAGACATGTAGTAAACAAAAATCTCACTGGTATTTATATAAAATTAAAATAATGACAAATTTTCCTCCCACCGCAACTTACTCCTTTCAAAACAAGTTTCTAAGGCTCAGTTGGGTATTGTAAGTTTTAAAATTATTATTTTTTCTTTTGTTTTCAGCTTACAAATTTTAATATAACCTTAAAATCAAATTATAATATATTTTTTATTGCTTGAGTCAAGCTTATTCAGTGATGAAATGATGCTAGTGGCATTAGATAAGAGGGTGAGATATAAAGATGAAAATAATAATGAATTGTTGACGATGAAAATGGTACTAAAAATAAAGAAGACAACAAGCAGTAATTGTATTAGTGAATAAGTATTTGATTTATTTATTGGAATAAAATAATAAATATTTATTTATTTTTGATCACCGAATAATACGTTTTTTGGTCATGAATTGTTTTTTTAAATTGAATGAAAAATACAGAAGCAACAGAAAAGGCATGGTTGTGATAAAACTGAATAAGATTAGTATATTGTTTGTTTTTCTGGCCCAAAGTCTTTTTGTTGTAAAAACATCCAAAATATTTGACCAAATATGACCGACAGGCCTATGATGTTATAAATCAAACGGGTAGCATTGAAAGAGAATAGGGTTTCAGCATCCAACGACGGAGAACGCGTTCACATCAAAACCTTTAAAAGCAACAAAGCCTCAACCTAGCTCTTCCTCTTTCTTCTCCTGCTTCCGCTGCAACCCACGGCATCCGAAGCAGGAGAGTAATATCATAACCTAATCAAAGCACCGTTTCGTTCCCTTCCGCCATGCCGTCTCTTCTTCCTCTCAACGACGCCGTTCCGTGCGAGACCCCCAAAGACAAGTCAACGAAGAAGAAGGACAAAGGGAAGAAGAGCAAGTCCCCCAACGGTGCCGTTTGGGAACCAGAATCTCTGAGTCCGAAGAACAAGAGCAAGAAGCGCAAGAAGAGTTTTGATGAAGAGGAGCAGCAGAAGAGCGAGACTAGCTCGGAGCTCGTGGAGCCCACTGAGGAGGAAGCTTTGAAATCGGAATTGAATAGTAATAATAAGAAGAGGAATAAAAAAACGAAGCTTGCAGAAGAAGAAGAGGTTTCGAAGGAGGAGGATTCGAATGCGGTTTCCAAGTTTAGGATATCGGAACCGTTGAGGGTGAAGTTGAAGGAGAAGGGGATCGAAACACTGTTCCCCATTCAGGCCATGACCTTCGACACCATTCTCGATGGTTCCGATTTGGTTGGTCGCGCTCGCACTGGTCAGGTCTGTGAAATTTTCTAATTCGGTTAACAAAAATATCTAATTATTGCCAAAGTGAATTTACGGACTTATATAGTTTTTAATGGTTACATAAATAGGAACATGAGGAGAGTGGGGTGGTTGTGTTGTTTGAAAGATTTAGGACCTGTTTAGATTGAAAAAGCGAAAACGTTTTTCGGTTATTTTTTATAATTTGTGTGAAAAATAATTTAAAAAAAAACGATTCCTTTTTATTGCTCTATTTTTTTCATTTTCAATTAAGCATCGTAAACCACGAAAACAACAAACTGAGATGGTATTTTCTGAAACCAAAAGTGCTGTTAATGCAATTTTATGGCTTGTTATCACGGTAGGTATGTTTTTGCAGTTTGGAGTGAGTGGGGATAGGAGAAGTTTTTTTGGTGAATTGCATGTGATTGAGGCTGCATAGTTGTATAGTTTTGAAGTTGCTATATGAAGCTGGTTAGAGTTTAAAGATAAGTGATGTTATACTATTAATTGCTTCAGATTGTTTTATAGACTTTATTATTTGGGAAAATGCAGGGTAAAACTCTGGCCTTTGTGTTGCCCATATTGGAGTCTTTAACAAATGGTCCGGCCAAAGCTGCGAGAAAGACTGGCTATGGGAGGCCTCCGAGTGTACTTGTGCTTTTACCTACTAGGGAATTGGCCAGTCAGGTATATTATGCATGAGCTGGTTGGGGGAGTATTTTGGTTTGCTATTTTATTTTGGTATATTCTGATGTTGAATATGCTGTGTACTAGGTTCATACTGATTTTGAAGTTTATGGTTCGGCGATGGGATTGACTTCTTGCTGTTTATATGGTGGAACTCCATATCATACTCAAGACATTAAGCTCAAGAGAGGTGTTGATATTGTGATTGGAACACCAGGTCGTGTAAAGGTAATTACTTAAACACTAGGCGTTGGGTGCATGTCACTGCTATTTTTTTTTATTGATATGATTTTCAATCAGTGCAAGGGTAGATTGTAGAAGCTTCACTTTGTCCATTTAAGGGTTAAAGCTATTAGTGATTTGTGTAGGATCATATCGAGAGGGAAAACCTTTACCTGGGCCATCTAAGGTTTCGTGTCCTTGATGAAGCAGATGAGATGCTGAGGATGGGCTTTGTTGAAGATGTTGAACTTATCCTAGGTATGTGGTTTGCATTTTTTTGCTAAATGTAAATTTTCATGTACTACTACTACTACTATGTATATTTTTCTGGGCAAACTGATGTTGAATGTCAGTATTTATCAAATTGGATGCTCTTCTGCTCCATTGCTTCTTTATTTTCTATGTTGTTTTTGCTAGTTGCAGTTAGAGTTGTTGTATGAGTAGTTTTGAATTCTATCGTCATTTTGTTAAAGTAGGTGGTTGCTGATGGGATTTTCGTTTGTTTGACTGTTGTATGCAAATACTATACATATCAGTGCTAGTTATTTTCTTCTTTCACATATCTTTTGTGGTTCTGTCTGACTTCTGATAACGTGGAGCAATATCTCAATTTGATAAGAATAACAAATTGTCAAATCCTAGCTAACATCCTCAAAATGTTTCTGGATGTTTTCCAAGGCATGAACTTTGATCAAGGTCACTCAAGGTTATATATTTACAATTGTCTCTTATTTGACATTGCAGGAAAGGTAGAAGATGTTGGTAAAGTTCAGACGCTTCTTTTTAGTGCCACTTTGCCAAACTGGGTTAAGCATGTACGTTTCTTTGGGATCATCTCTCATTCTAGGTTTATTTTTTGTGCTGATTGGGTGTTATTTGGATGGCATTTACCTTATCCACCATCTTTTGGTTGGCAGATTTCTGCAAAGTTTCTGAAACCAGATAAGAAAACTGCTGATCTTGTTGGGAATGAGAAGATGAAGGCTAGCACCAATGTTAGGCATTTTGTTCTTCCATGTCACAGTTCTACCATGTCCCAAATTATACCTGACATTATTCGCTTTTATAGCAGGTATTTTTTAATATCCATTGTTTGATTTCTGCATTAAAATATTGTGTGCTGTGGGAATCTTTTAGAACTGTTGTGTTCTTTTGGTTCTGTTTTAGTGGAGGCCGGACAATTGTATTTACTGAAAAGAAGGAGACTGCTTCTGAGTTTGCCGGGCTGTTGCCTGGAGCAAGGGCTCTCCATGGGGACATACCTCAATCACAACGGGAGGTGAGCCTTTTTTATGACTTTTTATATGACTAATAGCCTATTGGTTCTTGAAATTTTCATTTTATGGATATTGGAAGGTGATCTGTCGTGAACCTAATATCTTTTTGGACTAATTTGTTTACCTTTTGATGATTTTTCACAATAATAATGTGTTGGTGCCACTCTTGCTGTTATGTTTTCTGTTAACTGTGTGCTGTCCCAAGCAGGTCACGTTGGCAGCTTTTAGATCTGGGAAATTCATGACATTGGTAGCCACAAATGTGGCTGCAAGAGGTCTAGATATTAATGATGTTCAGTTGATTATCCAGGTACTTTTATTCATATACATTTAAGTATACTAAATAAATCTTTATATGCATTTTGATCTGATGTACTGAATTGTTTTTGATTTAGTGTGAGCCTCCACGTGATGTAGAAGCCTATATTCATCGATCTGGACGCACAGGAAGAGCTGGTAATTTGATTGTTTTTCTATTTTTTTATAATGGACTGCTAGAATTGTGTTAATTTGGGTTTAAATTTTTTAGGTAATACTGGAGTTGCTGTAATGCTTTATGATCCCAGAAAGGGGTCAAAAATAGGTCAAATTGAAAGGGAATCGGGTGTGAAATTTGAACGCATAACTACTCCTCAGCCTGATGATATTGCCAAAGCTGCTGGTGTGGAAGCTGCTGCTGGAGTGATTAACCAAGTATCTGACAGGTATGCTTCCTGTTATTTGGTATTTTTGTTTAACACTGTCTTCTGCTGTTAACATATGTCATTAATGCAGTGTGATTCCTGCATTCAAGCCTGCTGCCGAGGAGCTTTTGAACAACTCCGGTTTATCAGCTGTTGAATTACTTGCAAAAGCTCTTGCTAAGGCTGCTGTGGGTCTAATGTTCTTCCTAACTAAATTTGTTTTTTATAATGTACCAACTCCTTCATTGTCAATATTTTTCTCTGATCTGGGAAAATGTTATATTTGTAGGGTTTTACTGAGGTAAAGAAAAGATCAATTCTGACTTCCAGGGAGGATTATGTTACGTTACTTCTTCAAATTGGAAGACCTATGTTCTCTCCAATGTGAGAATTTTACAATAATTAGGAGCATCTTGCATCATATCAGCATTTACAAACTTTGTTTGGATTAGCCTATTTGTTTTAACTCTTGGGAGAGTTTTTGCCAAAAAAAAAAAACAAATAATTTTCTATGCAGAGCCTGTTTCTATTGGAAGATTTTTTAAATTAAAGTTATGTTTGAAAATTATGATAATTATGTAAAGTTTTTGTAAAAATGGAAAAACTTCAAAGAACACTATTAAAGTGTTTTTCTTATGGCCTAAGGTTCGTTTATTTAGTTAAAAAAATTGATTTTGTGAAACAAATTTTTGATGGCATTCTTCCAGAAGCAATTTTTTTAACTTGGGAGAAAGTACATGAAGATATATTTTTGATGTTCTTTCATTTTTTTCTCCCCAAAAATCTTCTGCAATTATTATATGTTTTATTATATATATATATATATATATTTAAATTGAAGAAGTGCCGTCTTTTTTTTTGGAAAGGGTATAATAAATAAACGGGCTCTTATAACCTGAGTCAAGCATTGGAATCAGGTGGTTTGGATATATTAATTTGGGTGTAGACTTATTTCATCTTTATTTATAAGTTATCAACTGAATATAAAGTATCCTTATTTTTGGATTTTGTCATTTGTTTGGTTGGATTTAACTTATGCTTTTATGAACTGTTGTCAGGTTTGCACTTGGAGTCCTGAAGAGATTCTTGCCCGAGGAGAAGGTTGAGTCAGTGCAGGGTCTGTCTTTCACTGCAGACGGAAATGGTGCTGTTTTTGATATACCAGCCAAAGATTCGGATTTATTTCTTAATGGTAAAATTTTACTTAATTGGTTATTTGGAAAATTCTCTGTCCATTCCACCATACATATTCTTTATAGCATCTTTAAACTCGCATTGCTATCCATGAAGTTAGAAACTATTAATAGCCTATGTCATTGCTGTCTTTTTTGAGTTTTTCAAACTTTATTGAATCCTGTATATGGCTTTCATCTTGATCATATTTTCAATTCAATTATTTTTTCTCTTCAGGTTCGCAGAATTCTGCTGGTGTAAGCCTAGAGTTGGTAACAACATTGCCACCTTTGAAAGAAAGGGACCCTCCGAGAGGGGCTAGATTTGGCGGTGGTCGTGGGTTTAACGATAGAAGTGGTGGGAACAGGTTTTCCTGTGGAAGAGGTGGTGGATTTTCTAGTCAGAGTAATAGGTTTTCAAATGGTTTTAAAGGTGGGAGAGGTAATGGAAACAGAGGCCGATATGGGGGGCAAAGGAGTTTCAGGGACTTCTGAGTGTTGTCTTCGCTCAGCATGTTCGTTTGAGCATAACTGCACAAAGTGCGGTGGAGGACTAAGATAGTAGCGTGACTGGTGGGTATTATTTGACGTCTGCACTTAAACGGAGTAGAGGAATGATGTTTACTATCCCTTCATCATCACTCTGCAGCCTTCACCAATATAACCATCGGCCACGTTTAATTAGATTTATTGCCATGTTATTGTTAAAACCTTGCCCCCCTCTCAATTTTGTTCAGCATCTGAACCCTACACGAGTGTTTGTTTATATAGTTTGCTATTTATATTCAGTTATTCCATTGATCTCAATTTTGATAGGGAAGTGTAAGAAGTAGGTCTTTATATTATGCATGAGCCAAGCAAGGAAAATATTTTTAAGTGTACTAATGACAATGACTTGGGAAAAATTAATATAGAAGTTTTCATTTTTTACGTGCAATTGCTTTTCCATGATCACCATCTATTTGTAGCCTTTTTGATAACCATCAACATGTCTTTCGTATCTGACTTGATTGTTCTGGTCTAAGGTGAAAGTTTAGAGTCCTGTTTATTAGAAGTTGGCGAAGGTTATTATATTTAAGGATTTGATTTTTTTGGCTTAACTGAAAATCAACTAAAAATAACATGTCAGTTGGTAGGTGGTTTAGAACCCCTATCTCATGGTGTCAAGCTGGGTGTGTTTGCTGTGTTGAAAATTATGTCTCCTTTTGTGGCTGTTTCACAAGAGTCGTTACATCTCAATCTTATCATTAGTTTACTAGTTGGCTAGTCTTAAACCTCCAATTTAATAATTATTTTATCTATGGTTAATTTTTTGTGTACAAAACTATTTTCTCTGGCACTATAAGTTCTCCACAGATGTAATAGTAATTCTTAATTAGTCTGATAATGAGTAGATTAAATTTTGAGTTTTTGAGAATTTAAAAACATTTTATCAAGTCGCTTTAATTTTGATTGATATAAACTAAAAGTTAATATAAAAACAAATGTTTTTTTACAGTATTATCACTAAAGGAGAATTTTTAAAAATTGAAGGACTAATGTCCAATCCGTACACTAATTTGGATTAGCTCTTTGTTTTAACGTCCAATGTTCTGTCTCTGCACTGGGGAAAGATGTCAGGTCTTCGGGGTCTTAAGATATACGAATTTATGAAATAATTAATATTCTTTTGTATTCTTAATTATTTAAAATATATTAATATTATTGAACAATTTTTAATTATCTTACAATATATTTTAAAAAATGTAAAGATATTAATTTAACATTTTAAAAATTTATTCGGCATCAATTTGATTATAGAAAAGATATAAAAGCAAATAAGTCTTTCAAATAATATTTCATTTTGTTAAGTTATAAAATGACTTATAACATTGATTTTATACATTGTTAAGACGAGTTTTATTCATGTAAAGACAAAAGTGATTAATGCAAAGCCATGAATGGAAAGAAGCTACATTAGAGAAAGGTGCTGAGTGGTAAACACCAAAATGGAAGAGAGCTCTGCACAAGGAAGCAAACATGTTGCAGTCCAAGGCTGAGTTCAGAAAAAGGGAGGAAATAACTAAAGAGTCAAAGACAAGATAAAACTATTAGAGTTAGTTAAACTTTTGTTGTTATGCTCTCAAGATTAGTTAAATTAGTTAATATTGAGTTAGTTTGGCATTGTATAAGTAGCTTGTTACCTGTTTCAATATTCAATAATAAGCATTCCATTCTGTATATTGTTTTTCTCTGTTGAAAATATGACCCTCATTTATTGGTATATATAAAGGGGCCTTCCTTTCAAATTTGATTTTCAGAGGAAGAGCTTTGGTTGGAGTGGCATTTTTTGGCTCAGAGAAAAACACTTTCAGGGTTGGTAAGTTTCCATCCCAATACTCTGCATAACCATCACTGCATACAACTTCACTCGCCTACACGCTACAGTTATAATATCTACAGTGCATCACCTACATTAATCTCAATCACGAAACCTGAACCCGATTGCAAAATTGGTCAATTAAAATAGAACAAGAAACTCCAGATAAAATCGCTCTTAGTTTTGTTTGAATCATTTTTATACATTTTGCAGACAAATTCTATTCTACGTGACCCGTTGCCCGAAGTCCTAACCTAAAAAATTCTCAAAATTAAAAAAATAAATCCTTAAATTAATTTTTAAAGTTATAAAATTATACATTTTAAACTATTATATTATTATTTTTTATTATTAATCTATAAATTTTTTACTTTACACAAAAATATATATTTTAATTTAGATGCTTATTATCTATTAACATAAAATTAACAGTGATAATTATTTTATAAAAAAAATAATATTAAACCTTCTCAATTATAAAAAGTAGTATAGATTTTATCTTTAATTTATTTTGTTATTTCATTTTCATTTTATACCAAAATAATGAAAAAGACCCTTAAAAAAATTTTCTTAACCTTTTTCAATCGTTCACTTCATTACATTGTTATGTTTTTGAGCACCTGAAGACTGGGCCACGATTATGTGTGTGCCCTTGTTTGCGTTAGTCTGAGATTCCTGCGTTTGGTTTTCCCTTTCTCAAGTAACCTTTCTCTGTTTTTATCTTCTCACGTGTGTTGCTGTGTTCTCTCCATCTCTAGATTCTTCTGTGCCATGATCTAACGTCTTCGCAAACCTTCCATGTTTTGCCACTCTCATTCACCTATCTTCGAGGCTTCGATTCATAATAGACCCTGAATTTCTCGTTTCTCAAAAATACCAAATTTCTGATTTTTATCTTGTTTAGGACTTGGTTAATCTCGCGATCATGGGGTGGTACAGAAGGGGAAAGCTCGTTCTTGATGGTTTTCGAAGCTTCACTTCGAGGGTTGCGCCTCAAAATCCAAATTTTCAGCGTAATTCGAGGATTTGCCAATCTGGGTATTTGGATTCATGTTCAAAAGGAGCTAGCTTTAATGGGTTTTCTTCGTTTTGTTCAATTTCTCAGAGACTAGGCACACGGGGTGTTGGAGATAACAGGAAATTTCACAATTTGTTTGTTACTGGGGCTAAGAGATTTTACTATGTGGATCCTTACAATGTGCAGCATTTCAGGCCACGAGGGCCAAAGCGTTGGTTTCAGAATCCTCGACACGTGTTCATGGTAGTGGTGATTGGTTCAGGGGTTTTGATCACTGTGTACTTTGGGAATTTGGAAACGGTTCCTTATACCAAGAGAACCCATTTGATTCTGTTGTCAAAAGCAATGGAGAGGAAGCTTGGTGAGAGCCAGTTTGAACAAATGAAGACAGCTTTTAAGGGGAAGATATTGCCTCCTATACATCCTGAGAGTGTGAGGGTGAGGATGATAGCTAGGGAAATCGTTGATGCATTGCAGAGAGGGTTGAGGAAGGAGCAGGTGTGGAGTGATTTGGGGTATGCATCAGAGCATGCTATGGTCGAAGGTGATGGAAGGGAGACATTGAATGCATTGGTTGGGACTGAAGAGAAGGTTGCGGGAAGGTGGCACAAGGAGGATGAGATTCTTGATGACAAATGGGTTCAGCAAAGCAGGAAAAAGGGTCAGGAAAGAGGGTGGCACGATGCTACATCGCATTTGGAAGGGTTGAATTGGGAGGTTTTGGTGGTGAATGAGCCTGTTGTTAATGCCTTCTGCTTACCTGGTGGCAAGATAGTTGTGTTCACTGGTCTGTTAGAGCATTTTAGAAGTGATGCAGAGATAGCTACTATTATTGGACATGAGGTATTCTACTCGCCTTTGGTTTAAATTTAATTAAAAGCTCCTTGTTTTTGTAGTTTAATATGGTTAGCATAGGAGATATGCAGATTTGTTATTTTGGACGAATGATATGCTGACATGTCAGTTTATATGGATTTTCTTGTTAATTAGGTTGGGCATGCTGTGGCAAGACACAGTGCAGAGGGGATTACAAAGAACCTGTGGTTTGCTATTCTACAGTTGATACTTTATCAATTTGTCACTCCTGATATTGTCAACACAATGTCATCCCTTTTCTTGCGGCTACCTTTCTCCAGGCGGTATGCTTTGTTCACTTTCTCTCCTTTTAATAAGTTGATTTCTTGTATGGTCTTTAATCATAGTAGAATCATTTCATGGAAAAGAAGATATTTGTCATCACTTGTTCAAATATGTGGAGTTGTGGAGCAATGCTGCTGCTATGTTCTTCCAAATAAATTGCTTTGCTCTTGTCTTTAAACCAAATGGAACCAGTAGCTTCTCACAAATTACCATTAATTTGACTGTTGGACTTCAAGTACTACATTTTTCTAACGTGAAACAAATTTGAGCTTGATATCAATTATTTTTCTTTGAGTAGTAAAGATTCTATTACATTACAGGCGAAGTAAAGAAGAACAAAATGAATTCAAGTCTCTAATTAACAGTAGGAATCCATATGCAATTTGCATGCCTAATATCTGTTTTACTGTAACTTCAATATATCTGATGCATGGTTTTTGTATCATGGTAAGATGAATCCAGTTGATGGATGCATGTTGAATGGAACAATTGATATTGGTTGTAATTGCACTTGTATAATCAATAATTATCCTTTCCAGTAAGCTTCATAATCGCAATAGATTATAACAACATATGATTATTATTGAATGACCATCATGGCAGTTGTGAAAGTATCTTTAAAATCTCCAGTTGATTGCAATGATTCCAACTTGTCAGGAGACTGTTTGAAAGAAGCAAAGTATTCATTATGCTACCTTTTATGAAGGCTTTAGAAATCAAACCTATGTTTAACGGTTGATATCTACACGATTTAATCCATAAATATCTTTAGCAGACGAGCGAGTGATAAATAGATGGTCTTAGTGCTCTCAAGATGGGGTGTCACATTATTTGGTACATATTTTCTGTGGTAATTCTTCGATGCATTGATTTCATCATTTCCATGTTTATAGAATTTCCGTGGTGGTAAAGCCTTTTAAGATAAAGAGAAAAGCTCTGGTGATGATGATGTTTGTTTACAAAATTACAAACAAAAGATGTGCAGTTCCTCTTAATCTTGTTTTCAATTATCTTTTTCAAAATATTAATTAATGTGTTCTTAGGTTTGTTCATACTATTTATGCTTCATGATCTGTGACCAGATGCTTTTGTGGATGCTTTGATATCAATTTCCCAGCATCCTATTTTGATCATCTAGCCAAGTTTTGACATGGCTTCTATTATCTGTGGCGTGAACATACTGTGTGGTATCTGCTTTTGTGGTATCTATAGGGTTGTCATCTGCATTTAAATTATAAACCGTGTTCAAGCTTCTTGTTTGTTCTTCTGGTAGATTTGTATATTGAAATTAAAGATTGTTAAAATAATAAAAAATGTTTGAATATATTTTTAGTTCCTTTAAATACACCAAATTTTGATTTTGGTTCCTATAAAATTATTTTTTGTTTAAGTCTCTATTAGTTTGAATATATTTATAGTTCCTTTAAATACACCATATTTAACTGCATTGCTGATTAGGGAGGGGTCAGTGATGGTAAAATTTATAAGTTAAATGTTAACCAATGATCTAAGGGCGTTTTTTTGACAATTTATAGGATGGAAATGGAAGCTGATTACATTGGGCTGCTGTTAATTGCATCAGCTGGGTATGATCCTCGGGTGGCACCCAAAGTGTATGAGAAGTTGGGAAAAGTGACTGGTGAGTCTGCCCTCAGAGATTACCTCTCTACTCATCCGTCTGGAAGAAAGAGAGCAGAATTGCTTGCTCAAGCTCAGATTATGGAAGAAGCACTTACTCTATACAGGAATGCTAGAACAGGACGTGGGGTTGAAGGATTTCTTTAGTACAAAAACACCTCTACTTGTTTCAAACTTTGAAGCAATTTTTTTAAAATTTAATTTTGCCTGTATTTGCAATTTCCTATTAAGTTTTGTATTTGATTCTCTGTTCATTATGTGAATCAACATCCATGTACCACTTTTGCCTATTCAAATACACAAAGGGGGTCTTGTCTTGTATATTTACAATTTTAATAATTTTTTATAAAATATGAGATTAATTAATTTAACTTTCTTATCAATTATATCAACTTTATTAAGTTTTATATAAAAATAAAACTAATAAATATTTTATTGTATTAATTTATTTTAATGAATAATATGTTTTTAAATTAAGCAAATATTAAATTTTGGGTAACATACTTATAAATATTTAATTTTGTGAAATTTAATATGAATAATCATAAAGATAATATAAGATTTAATAATTGAATTAGTCAATTTTACATTTTATGAAAAGCTATCAAATGATCGGTATCAAAATTTAATATTTGGCATCAACAGTCTCACATATAAAAAATTATAATTTTTATAATAATGAGGACATATAATACATCTTATTTAAATGAGCAAAATAAATATACATATTAATTATTTATTAAATCTTCATTTAATCTTTTAATTGAATCACATATCGATGCATAGATACTTGAACTAGTTCCAACAGAGGAGATCCAATATAAGAATATTTTGATGTTGGAGTGATTTGCATTGATCACAAGTGTTGTTGCTTGAGTATTGTAGTAATCGCGTCATAACTCACGTTTGGCTTTCAAGATTAATTAGAACTATGACTTACCCTCTAATTTTGAAGTCTATTATTTATACCATTGTCAACATCGTTGTGACAACCATCATTCTTAATTTAAACTTCCAACAGTTAACTTTTGTAATCAAGTATACAATAGACACATGCACAATTTTGTTATGATGTAAAAAAATGTTCACACCCTTATTGTAGCCACTCACGACAAAAAATTACACCACAAAGTAGTAACAAGTTTTAATAAAGTGAGAAAGACATGTAAGATATGGTTTTATTGTCTCTTGTAATATTAAAAGAAGAAGAAGAGAGTTATTTTTCAACTTATTAAGGAGGCTACAAAATGATAATAGCTTGAATATATGTGATTTACAGTCACATCTTTTTGTGACATCTTAAGTTTTGGGAATAATTCAATCGTAAATTTTCAATCCATTTATAAATATAATGAACCATATAATATATCAAACACTAGATAACTTAAAGGTATCTAGACTTCTCCATCTAAATTACGTTATCTTCTTTGTTTATAGAATTTTATAAAAAAATACTGAAAATATTTTTATTTTTATAATTTTCTATATAAATTTTTACAACAAAAAGTAAAGTATAAATAATATAATAATTTTATAATTAAAAAAATTTCTAAACCATCAACTACTAATTTTTTATAATCTTTGAAAGTATGTTTCAATTTGCAGCAATCTTATTCTTCTGAGATAGAATTGCTTCAAGGTATAAAAGTCTACCATACTCTTCAAACTGAGAAGGTTTGAGCATTTTGCCACGTGTCATAATATTATTGGTCACTACAACTGACGTTTACTCCCGAGCAGTGAAAATTTTCTCTGCCACAACGCGTAGTATGCAAATTTCTTAGAGGTTATCGCAATCACAAGACAGTTGTTAACTTTGAGTATATTGACAATTGATAAAAAAATATAATAAATTATCTTTTTACAAATTAAAATTAATTTGTATATTTCATATTTTACAGAAGTTACAGTGAAAACGATTTTAACAAAAATAGAGAATAAGCTAATTTTCATCTATCCCACGACTCTAATATATTTCTTTTTTAATATTTTTCTTCAATTTTTTATTTTCAATATTTTTTTTAATTTTTATTAGATTAAAAAAATAAAAAGTAAAAGAAAATAACTAAATCAACATAAAACTAAACTAATGAATAGAAATGCACTAAAATAAATAAAAATAGATTGATAAAGTTGGGTATTTACACACAATGAATTTACCCTTTGATGAATAATAAATTTGGGTAAGTTATATGTGACAAATATTAAGATCATTAAACTCTTAATTCTTTAAACAATACGTTAAAAGTTGTAATTTAAGACAAGTTTAAGTTGGGATATCAAAATGGGTTTACCTTCCCTGCTGATATTTTTTTTTCATTTGTATAATGGCAGGCTGGCTTTACATTATCTCACTAAGACTAACTTATTTTATCGTGTCAAAATGCTAGCCTATTGGACTTGTTATTTTTTTTAAAAAAAGACAATTTATTAGCAATTTTTTTATGTTATTATTAATATAAAAATGTTATTATAATTACTTTTACAAGTTTTTATTATTGTATATTTTAAAATTTTTATGTTAATTTTAAAAAGATTGACCCATCAATTCACGACTAGTCAATCCACTTTATATATTTTCTATTATTTTAAAGATTTGGCAAGTCAACTTATTTAAGCTATGATTCATAGTCCATTTCTAAAAGTGGCACAAGATAAGTCAGCCCATTTTCAGATGAACTTGTCAAAATGATGCAAATGTAACGAATCTGTAAACTTGTAATTTGAACAACAGTTGACATGTATAGTTGCTCTAAGAAGCTACAAACATGTTCGAGAGCCGTTTCATGTGTGAACCAATTTCTAAATCACAACTTACAGAGCAATTTCGCCATAATTACTCTGCAAAAGTTTAACCTAAAGTAACCCCATTTCCTTCTTCCATGCGTAAAGTTGTTGACTTCTTCTAAGTCACCTTCTCGCTCTCTCTCTCTTTCTTCTTCCTTTTGTTCTCACTCCTGCAGTTTGGAAGCATTGTTGAATTGCCACTATGATGCTGCCACTGGCTGTTGGCGCCACTCACCTTATTTGCTCACATGATGAAAGAGGAAATGAGAGAAAGAGACCCAGGAATGTATAAAACAAATTCAAGAGCATAGACAATCACGTGTAATTATAAAATATGAAAAACAAATTGCCGTTGTCTTTGACTATGGCTTTAGTTGTTCATGATAAGAACTAACCTAAAATCGTAGCATTAACTTAATAACAGACTCCGTATTCCTAAGAAAAAGAAAAGAGATAGAAATCTACTTTGACAAGATGGATATCTGACATTAAGGGCAAGAGGATTCCAACTCTTTGTTTACAATCTTCTTGGTGGTTCAATGCTTGGGGTTTTCTTAACATCCCCAATGAGGGGTGGTGACTCCAAAAAAAGGAAAAAAAAAAAAAGGTTTCTTAGCGAGTGACATGATTTCAAAAGCTTCTAAAAGTCTTTGAAGTAAAAAATGAGAGCCATAAATTTATAATTGGCGCTAAAGGTCAGGTCCAATATGGTCTTCACAGGGGTGCATGGTGTTAGGTTACTACGCAAATTTTTCCCATGTTTAGATTAGTGGAAACAATAAATGAGGAGTAATAGCACACATAAATTGATAACAGAGTTCGGCCAATTATGCCTACGTCTCCGGACTGCTGTAGACCTTTTATAGAAAGGAGAAATATACACTGTGTTTACATACACTTACACTCTCTCACAAACCCACAACCCAATTACAACTAAGAGTTTCTCTCTCATAAATTTTTCTCACACTAGAAAATTTCTCTAACTCTCAAATGCACTCACTGCGTTGGAATGAATTTTCCTTCAGCTCCAATGAGTATTTATAGAAGCTGGATTTATGTGTGTATGCATAGCAATAATTATCAACAAAGGCTGCCCATGATTTTCTCTTCACCAAAAAACAATATTCCAAATTCAAAGTTACTATACTTTGGGTGGCTGGCATTAAATTTAGAGGATGGAATAGTGTGGCTAGGAATATAGGCCGGTAGATCTAACACATGGGTGTGCATCTATTTGACAGAGTCGTGCTGTGTTAAAAGTAGCTTTAAAACGGTAAAAGACAGAGGAAGAACAAAATATAACACTGATAGGAAATAATTCTCCCTCTCTATATATGATGAAAGCAATGATACACTATATATATACAATTGATCATAATTAGGATAAGATCAAAATAATACCAATTTTCTTACAATAAAGGATATTTACAACTTATGATTACAGCTCACTATTTCTAGAAACTACCATAGAATTTCAATAGCTATCTATTTACAAATTAACATATGATTGGGCCAAGGAATCATGGGCCCTGTGAGATTGCTTTGGACTTATTTCTGTTAACCCCCCACAAGCTGGAGGTGGGTAGAATTCTACTAATTCTAGCTTGGATACGTTAGAGCGAAAAGATTGAGGAGGCAAAGCTTTAGTGAACATATCCGCAAGTTGATGACAAGAAGGGACAAGAAGCAGCTTCATCAAATCGACTTGAAGCTTCTCACGGACAATGTGACAGCTGATTTCTAAGTGCTTTGTGCGTTTACAAAAAACTGGGTTTGTAGCAATATGGAGAGCACTTTGATTGTCACAATATAATACTGCAGACTTGGAGCAATTAACTTGTAAATCAGTGAGCAAATATGACAACCATTGCAACTCACAAGTGCTAGTGGCTAGAGCTCTATCCTCTGCTTCCGAGGATGACCAAGACATTGTGCTTTGTTTCTTGGCTTTCCATGATACCAAGGAATTCTCAAAGAAGAAACAATATTCTGTAATCGAGTGTCTAGTGTTAACACAAGTTGCCCAATCGACATCACTAAAACCAATGAGATGGGTAATGAATCTCTGTTGAATAAAAGACCTTTGTTTGGACAACTCTTAAGATATCTTAAAACTCTTCTACCAGTACCAAGATGTGACTTTGTTGGACAAGTCATGAATTGGCTAAGTTGTTGAGTTGCAAATGCTATATCCGGCCTTGTTGTGGTGAGATAAATTAAACGACCAACAAGCTGTCTGTACTGCATCGGATCATCAAGTAATGCGCTAGAATCTTCTTGACGAAGTCTTAATGAGCTATCCATAGGTGTAGTACTTGGCTTACACCCTAGCATTCCAAAATCAGCAAGTAATTCAAGACAATACTTTCGTTATGAAACATAAATTCCC